CCCCCCCCCCCCCCCCCCCCTAAGGCCCCCCTTAAGGCTCCCCTCCAGGCAAGGAAGACACTCTGCCGTGGCATCACCCTGGCACAACCCCAGCAGACAGAGCCCATCGGAATACCAGACTACCAGACTACCCAGAATAGCGCAGGGTTGGCGGGGTGGAGGGGGGATTTGCTCATGGGCATTGCAAATCACGCAATTTTGGCCTGCATTAGCTGGCGGTGAAAACGTGCACTTCAGGGGAGTCAGAACAAAGAACATCCATCGCGGGAGAAGAACAACAGCACAGTGTATTATTCTTCCGTGGAGAGGGACTGTGAGCGGCTGCAAGTCTCCACGCGGAACCACCAGCAGCAGCAGCAGCAGCAGCAGCAGCAGCAGCAGACAGGTGACTGCGGAGGAGTGTTACTCAGCAAGACTCTTGTAGTTAGTTGACATTTGACAGTTGACAGTTACGAGTAACTGCTACAGAGTAACTGCTACAAAATGGAGTTAATTACAGAGCAACAACCGCCACTGACTCAAAGTAACTAAACTATCTAAGAGGACAACAACAACAACAACAACAACAACAACAACAACAACAACAACAACACACTGTTAATTCAACCTTGTTTTATTGTGGGACTTCTTAAGCAAGCTAGCTAGCTACTAATAAATACATATGGTACACGTGACCTAGGGTAGCAGGTTTAATTCCTCTAACTAAACTATGGACTTTTTTTTTTGTGACGCCGGCTGACTCATCCAGAGGGGGTTTAACCCGGAAATGCATCACGTGCGTGGATGGGCCAATGGACAGTTCCCCCCCTTCGGCTCAACAGTCAACTCAGTTAAACCTCAGTTAAATCTCAGTTAAACCTCAGTTAAACCTCAGTTATATCTCAGTTAAACCTCAGTTATATCTCAGTTGGTTTGGGCTAGACACTCAGCAGCATAGTGCAATCACCGGTTGCAAAGTCCACGTTTACTCTCTCTGAAGTTACTCTCTTATTTCTTCATAAGCTCTCCACTTGCCGCTTGCTTGTGGTTCAATTCATGGAATCGATGAAGGTTGCTGCCGTCGCCGTTTCCATGGGTCAGTTGGAGTGCGGCCTTGATGTGATTCGTTGACAGAGACCAACCTGAGAAGCTTTGCTGACTAACCTAAATTTCATCACATGACTCACTGACATCCCCGGCCAGCAAAAAATTCACTGTAGTTTGGAAAATGGGATCAACCCCGGCTCCAACCAACAACAAACAACACCACACTCTTCATTGCCATCTCAAGAAGAAGAAGAAACGTGCCGTGAACGCTGCTGCAGCTTGTGAGCAGTAGTGACGGCGAGTTGCTGCACAGCGTCATAAGACTCTTTGCTGATAGATCAGTTGGCTGCCGATTGTGCCAGGCATACAGACGACCTGCGGTTCCCCCCCTGAGTTACCTGCTTATAAACAGCCAGTCATTCATGTCCGATGCCATCTTTCCTATCCGTGGGGGACGGCCGGTACTACGGCACAGCTCTCTGTCCGGGGGATCGTTCATACAGGACCACCAGCAGTATAAGCCATCCACATCTCTTGCCCACGAGTCTCTCTTCCCCCCCCTTTCTCTCCGCAGTGGCCCCGCCCTGGCTCACCCCAACGTGAAGGAGAGTGGGATTGTGCACTCGCTCTTCAACGAGTCGCCCGTCTCCCTCCCGGCAAACTCCCCCAAATTGGTCGCTACCATTTTCTACAGGGCCTCCGATCCAACCGTTCACCCGCGTCCTCACCGCATCTCCTCGCAGCCCAGGCCTACAGGCAGACGCCGCGCCCCCACCGCGGTGCGCGCTTCCGCTCCACCCCTGGACGTCGAACAGCCTCCCCGGGACCCGGGTCCAGAGCCGCTAGACCTCCTCTACGGCCAGTACGTGTCGCAGCTGTGCCTCACGAATTTCCTGCAGATCATGGAGGAGCTGCCCACTCCTTACCAACGCATGAGGACCTCGCACCGCTGTCTGGACAAAGAGGGCCGGCCGCGGGTGGTCGAGGTGACCATCTGTCCGCCGCCGAAGGAAGAGTATCTCTCCTTCGAGGACATGCAGAAGCACGAGAACATCTGGCGCTTTGAGCGGGAATGGAATGTGGAAGTCATCATCCAGCGGGAGAGCGTGTTCAGGAGGCACAAGCGGCTGGCCGTGTTTGATATGGATAGCACCTTGATCCAGCAGGAGGTCATTGATGAAATGGCCCGCTTCATCGGTGCGGAGAAGGAGGTTTCTGTACGTCTCCCCCCTGCAAAGCTCAACGATTTCCCATCTTTACCACGACCAAAAGGGAAAAATTAATATTAAAATTAAAATTAAAATTAAAAAAAATAAATAAATAAATAATAATAATAAAAAAAATAAAATAATAAAATAAAAAATAATAATAATAATAATAATAAAAAAAAAAAAAACTCACAATATACTCCAAGGAAATAACCGCTCGTGCCATGAGCGGGCAACTCGACTTTGCCGAATCCCTAAGAGCCCGTGTGAGTCTCCTCAAGGGCGTGCCCGCAGACGTCTTCGAAAAGCTCAAGCCAATCATCACCATCGCCCCTGGTGCCCGCGAACTCTGCCGCGGCCTGAAGACCCTCGGATTAAAACTAGCAGTCCTCAGTGGCGGCTTCCAACCCCTCGCAGACTGGCTGGCCGGTGAACTGGGGCTGGACTACGCCTTCGCCAACCACGTGAGTCCCTCAACCTCCAACCCTTGCCCCCAAGATGAATATCTCTAAACTCTAGCTGACCACGCGCCGCATCGCACATCAGCTCGAAATCGACCCTGCGACACAAACACTCACCGGCAACCTCGTGCCCGAACATCCGATCATCGACGCTGTGCGAAAACGCAACCTCCTCCTCACCCTCGCGGAGGATAATGGCATTGCCATCAAGCAGACCTTGGCGATTGGCGATGGCGCGAATGACCTGCTCATGCTGAAGGAGGCCGGGTTGGGTATTGCGTGGAGGGCAAAGAGCAAGGTGCAGCTTGAGGCGCCGGCGCGGCTGAATGGGACTTCGCTGGTCGATATTTTGTATCTGTTTGGCATGCATCGGGAGGAGATCGAGGAGCTGGTCAAGGATGGTGGTTGAGTGATGTCATGTTGTCCGTGGTGTTTTCGTGGCTTTCGGTTCTGGGGTAAATGAGGTTCTGCCATTTTTGGAGAAGTTTTATTCCTTTTCTTTCTTTCTTTCTTTCTTTCTTTCTTTCTTTCTTTCTTCTTTCTTCTTTCTTTCTTGACTTCATTGGCATATATTTTACGGCATATGTATTGTCATCAATTTTGCACATCAAGTTTCAAGAGAGATGGAGAGATCTTAAACGGCCATGATTGAGATTTGTTGAAATCTCGTGTCTCATGCAGGGCATGGTGTGTAACTACATGTAAGAGAGAGATTAGGATAAACCTGTAAATCGCAAACACCAACCTCATGCGTTTCGTCGAAGGGGCATTCCGGTTTAACTTGGATAACCTGGCTCTCTAAGTAATACCTCGATACAAGCACACAGCATAAAAGGAGGGTGAAATATATATCACCGCACTACCCCTCCAGCAACCAATCTCTCCACATCCTCACGCCTCGTCGAGTTCCCACCATCACCACCGTCAGCACCCTCCCCCCTCCTCTTTTTCAACACATTCTCAATAAACGCCTCCCCAGCCTTGTAACTACTCCTCACCAACGGCCCAGACGCACAGTACAAAAACCCCATCTCCAGAGCCCGCTCCTTCCACAAATCAAACACCTCCGGCCTCACATATTCATGCACAGCCATATGCCGCTTCGTCGGCCTCATGTACTGCCCAAAGGTAACAACATCAACATCGACCGCCCTCAGCGCCCTCAGCGTCTCCCACAGCTGCGTCTCCGTCTCCCCGAGCCCAAGCATGATCGACGTCTTCGTAATAAGCTCCGGCCTGGCCTCCTTCGCCGCCTTCAGCACCCGCAGGCTCTGCTGGAACGTGGCCCTCCGATCCCGCACAAAGGGCGTCAGCGCCTCGACCGTCTCGACATTGTGCGCGAACACGTCCAGGCCCGACGTAGCCACCAGCGCCACCATCTCCAGGTCCCCCGCGTAGTCGCCCGTCAGGCACTCGAGGAGGATGCCGGGCGCCTTCTGCTTGACCTTGCGCACCGTTTCGACCACATGTCTCGCCCCGCCGTCGGCAAGGTCGTCCCGGTCAACGCTCGTCATCACCACGTACCCCAGCCCCCAACGCGAGAGCGCCTCGGCCGTATTCTCCGGCTCGTGCGGGTCGAGCGGCGGAGGCGTGCGGGACGTCTTCACGCTGCAGAAGCGGCAGCCGCGCGTGCACGTGTCTCCCATCAGCATGATTGTGGCCGTTGCGGCGGACTTGGAGCTGCCGCCCCAGCAATCGGATATGTTGGGGCAGCGGGCTTCTTCGCAGACGGTGTGCAGGTTTAGGCCGCGGAGGTCGCTTTTGATGCGCCTGTAGTTTGGGGTGTCTGGGATGGGGGTCTTGAGCCAGGAGGGCAGACGGATGATCTGCTTCTTTCTGCCGGGGGGCCCTACGAGGGCGGTTTTCAGGGCATACGCTTCGGCGGGGTCCAGGGGGACGCGGTCGTTTGAGGCGCCGCCGCCGCCGCCGCCGGAGACAAAATCGGAGAACGAGGGGCCGGCGTTTAGCTTGTCTTTGAAAGCTGTGATTCGCTGCTTGGGGGTGGGCGTGGAATTGGAGGAATTGGAGGAATTGGAGGAATTGGTTATGGGGGGATCGGGGGAGGTAGTTGTCGCATAGCATCTGGATACAGCTAATTGAAGCCTAGGTACGGTGGTGGATGAGTGGGCGGATTGGAGAGTGCGGAGCCCACGGGCGGACGCTGCCATTGTGAAATTGCGAATAAGTCTCAGCCCAACGCTCTTGAGTAAATAAGTGATTTGACAAAAATGCATATCCCGGTCCCCCGTCTATTTAGGTATCTGATCATGAAGAATTTCCGTCCGCAGGTTTTCACCGGTTGAATCGATCAACGCCGCGATTACCCCATACATGTCACATGACTGATCAATCAGGAATAACGTTGTCCCGCTACGGATTATAAAGCGAGAAAAAGTTGAATCACATGACCGCGATGCCCTAACATTTTCAAGATATTTTCAACTTTCAACGCCCGTCCGGGGGAAATGTGCCAAAGCAAAAGCAATGATGATTGTCCTATGTATAAAATGGAATTGAGTTTAAGCAAGCAGGGGAATTATTCTCCGTCCCACATTCATATTGACCTTTAAGCCATTGAACCACATTCCAATGTCAGCCCTCGGAGTGTTTAACCTCGTTGGTTCGATTTCTTCTGGGATGCTCACAACGCTCCGATTGCCTGTCCCCGAAACAAGTCGGCTGGGTTTTATGGCTGGTCAAGGCATTTCCACGTCATTTCGTTTTCCGTACATTTTCCCATGTTCCTGGCGCGAGGCTGGGATGCGCACAAACCCTCAAGAACAGCCTTCCGCTGACCAACAAGGCATTATTGCGGTTAGCCTGAGGAATCGAATGGATTGGTGCATCCCCATACGCTTGGAAGGAAATTTAATTTAGCCGTCAGAACCAACAGGATTATATATATATAAAACTCCGCTTTGCTCTCTTCAATCTTAGCTTGATGGGAAGGTCTGTTTACTTCATTATTTCTTGATTCATTACTGGTTTTCCCTGTGTTGACTTTTTCCAAGACTTTGAGCTACGGTTTACTTCCGATTCTTGTGTGGTTATCTGCTGTGTTCATGTAACGAGCATTATTCCTGCTGTCCCACTTGTTACTACCTTCTCTGGGCTGGCGGGTCAATTGGCCTGGATTGGATTATCCCCTTCGCCATTATCTCGAAACAATTGCTGCCAATACCTCTACGCAAGCCATGTCTCAGAGAAGTCCATGGCCCAAAGGCTACCAGCACCGTCCAATTGATTTCAACTCCCAAATCCCCCTAGACTTCATTCGGGGTAAGACCATTCTTCTCACGGGCGGTGCGTCTGGGTTCGGTGCCGCATTCTTTTCCCACTGGGCATCCGCTGGGGCAACTGTGATAATAGGCGATGTCAACGTGGACGCGGGAACCCGACTTGTCACCCGTGTCCGAGAAAAAACCCGAAACCCGAACCTGCATTTCCTTCCGCTGGACGTGACTTCCTGGCAGTCTCAAGTCGAGTTCTTCCGAGAGGCTGTGAAACGTAGTCCGCACGGTGGAATTGATGCCGTAGTAGCCAACGCAGGTATAAATCGAGCCACAGAGTCTAAGGACTTCGAAGAGCCGCCAATTGACTACCAGGTCGAACCTAGCCCTCCTGTTCCACGCTTCTCCACCATCGACGTAAATCTAACTGGAACACTGTATACAACACATCTGGCGCTCTACTACCTCCCCCGGAACCCAGGGTCCACTCCCTGCAACCCACAATCCACCCCACCGTCGGGAAACAGACAAAGGGACAGGCACATCCTCCTTCTGGGCTCCGTAGCCAGCATCGCGCCTCTAGCCTCCCAGATACCCTACGGCGTCTCCAAACATGGCGTGATGGGCCTCTTCCGCTCCCTGCGCGCCACGGCACCTCTCAAACATGGGATACGCGTGAACATTCTCTGCCCTTATTTTACCGAGACTCCCATTCTCGGGATCGGCGGGAAAATCTTTTTATCTGGCGTGGCGTTGGCAGACATCAACCATGTCGTGGAAGCGGGGACGCGTTTTGTAGCGGACCCAGGGTGCGTCGGACGCGCTGTGGTTATTGCGCCGAAGCTCAGGGTGAGATCTCCGTTGTCTGAACCTAAGGATGGAGGAGGCGGGTTGGAGGGCGGAGAGGAGCGAATTCCTGGCATGGGCGGGGTAAGGGGGATTCCGGATCTACACGACATATACGACCTTGAAACGACGGCTCGGAGGCAGAGAGCTGGGCCGCAGGATGGAAGGGAGGTCAAGGATGTTGCCATTTGGGAAATTTATGCGCATGATTTTGACGACACGGACGCGTTCGTGCGGAGGATCATTGGGATTCTCCATTTGACGACACGCATAAGGGGGTGGTGGTTGTTTGCGGTCGATCTGTGGGTGGGGTTTTGCCTGGTGCTGAAGATGGTTTTTGGCGGGCGGAAAAGGCGGGCCAACGGGAACCTGAGGGGAAAGAAACAGGTGTAGAAAGCTGTAGGAAATAAAATTCACGGCTTCTTGTCTCTTTTTTATTATAATAGTGTTTGGCTTCTGTATGATCTTTATATAGACACCCCCCCCCCCCACCCCCCCTTCTCCTCCTTCGATTATACTTTCATCGTTGCCTTTCATTCGTTCATCCCAACAACTCTATTTGTTTAATTTTGAAAGGACCGTGTTCGAGTCCAACACTGTTCTTATTTTGTCTTGAGAGTAGTTGCGGTCTCATTGCTACAGAGGTATTATAGAACGCGATGACATATGTACGGTTGAATTGAATTGTGTAATTAAGACGTTTGTAAATACCCTTGGATTTCATTCTTATTACATTCGAAGCAAGGAACCAAGGTTCAAACATCGACAACATATTAAAGTCCGCGAGACAGCAGCCGGAAACAGCAATAAACTTATAGGAAAGTAGTGAAGAGAGAAATATCCAAAATGATCCAAATTATGCCTAGAGTTCTGTATAGTGAGGACACCCGCTTCCTCTTCCCTTCAAGAAGGCGAACAAGAATCATAAGCGCACCCTTATTGCAATAATCAGAGGATCCGCATAAATCAATCAACAACCCATCCACAATTCTATCTAAGCGTGTGTCGATATCTACAGCTCTCGTGCGCAGGAGGCGCTTTTTAAACATGTAGCTGTTATGGTTTTGATAGGTGAAGCCCCGGTCTCGTCCTTGCTTCACCAGAGACGTACTTGAAAGATCCAGCCCGTAGTTCGGTTGCTCACCTTCACGTAGAGAAGGTACATGTATTTGCGCGACGCAAGCAGCGTATTAGAAACTGATTGTGTCAGTTGATGCCGAGGGGAAGATATCTGCGAATGGATTGAGAGAGCCTTGTCCGAAGTCGAACGTACAAAAATGATAACAGGAGAGGAGAGGCTTAAACCTGGCTGAGGCACTCGTGTTAGGGAGGCTTCGAGGTGGTCGAGAATCCATCACATGCTCCAACATATCCTCATTAGTTCACTCTTCTCCCTGCTTGGGGTAGCCGGAGTAGATGGAGGAAAAACTAGCCAGTGAAGGAGTACAAGGTGATGAGCAACTTCCTCCCGAACCCCCAAGCAAGGTTATAATTCTGTGCACAGGAGACTTTTCCTAGATCCATCGTGGAACTTGATTAAAAAGGATGTAGCTGAGAGGTTGATGAAGGGCTTGTCACTGAAACTTCAGCAGATAACAGAGATAAATCTTCGAGGGGCCGGATAGATGCCTGAGTCGAATATCCACTATCATGAGAGGAACTGAAATAATGTCCACGCCTTGGAGAAATATTAGGTGAATTCGACTCTGATGGCGGTTTATTCAATATTACAATTCCTTGTGAAGTCTCGTTTGTTCGGGATTTGCCATGTGGGTCTGGGTGATAAGGCCGGAACTTTGAGATAGTTATCAACTCAGGCGGACTAGCTGGACGGTTAATCTTTACGGATCTCTATAATATGGATTAGTGCATGTGCGGTTCTGGCATATGAGCCTAGCAGGGTCTCACCGCTATCTCGCATGATGCGCTTATCTTTCTCGATTCCCCGTGTTGTCTATATTGCACGATTTGACACTTTCGTTTTTTAGCTTTATGATGTTCGTCGGATTTGGAATTTTGGTAATTCGTGCTGATAAATTTCCCAAAACGCCAACATTTCTCATCTTTAATACCTCCAACCTCAGGACTCGCAATTCCCTTGACAGGTAGATCTGAAAATACGTGAGATCTTGGGGAAGATCCTTCATTCAGCAAATAATTTTGAGTGGAAGGAGTGAAGATTTTGGAATCTTTAGAGCTGGTTGAGACATCAATGCTGTTACATAGAGCTCCAGGGGAATGATCGTCCCCATAGCGGCTATCACTATATGGATGAAGTAACATCCCGATCATTTCTCTGCCGTATCAGAGGGAAATTCGATCTGCTCAATCTATGGTCGTCCCAATCTGGTCCAAAGAAAATCTGAGCTGTAAGCACGCCAAATCGTGGCCCGCAGTTGTAGATGAGATTGGATGAGGCGTTCCGAGATTCGGGGTGTAAACTGGAACAGATTAAATGCTTGTATGGACTGGCGGTGGGTACCTCCTAAGATAGATAGTTCTCTGATGTGTCCGTTAAGTTGTTTATAGAGGCAGCATTATAAATAACGAATTGAATGGTGCTCCTCGTCTCATCCTTGAGGGCATAATGAGTAAAAATCCAAAGTTCAGATATCGACTGAAAGCGAGACAGAGAAGTGATGTTTCGATGCCATATATGCGAAATACAACAAAGGTCAAATGCAAACGGCTAGCTCGGCTAGCTGAAGCTCTCTGGCCTCAATTTATGACGTATATTCATCTAATCAAGATCGCATGTTAGAATCACAGAGTATGAAACATGTTGGAGCCACCTTCGAAACTCTCTCGCAATGATATAGAAATACGAGGTATCAACGGCGATTGCAAGTAGTCAGGGGTATCGTTAGCACTTCAAGTCTTGAATCATCAGAAAACAGAACTTATCTGCGAGGATGTTAGATAAACGGATCAGGGTTATGATGCCATGACCAACGCTTGTTGCATGTCTAGCCCAGTCCATTGCCAACTTCGAAGTTGCTTAAACTCCGAGAACTTGGAGAGAAGTTGGCCAGCGTCGGAACCAGCGGATAAAACGCTATACCGCTAAAAGGTTCGTTGGACTTCCGGAGCTTTCATATTCGGAGTTTTAACCTTTTAATCTACTGGCAGCCCCTGGCTAGTGATTGAAATGGTGACTCCCTCAAAGCGATCGGTAGACAATATCGTCGTCAACAACCGGACGAGATTGTTCTTAATCTGTCTCACAATCGCCACCTTGGGCTTGTCCACAAAGGGATCGGTAGACTGAACAAACCAACAATGAACTGCCTGCATGAAAGAAAGGGGGAAATGACAAAGAAACGATGTTCTCTGCCGCTGGAAGAGCTTTAAGATGGAAGTTGGAGGAAAGGTTGGATTAGGGTTGTGCACGTGACCGGCATTAGGGTATCTCGAAGATCTGATAAGATTGACCGATGCCAAACAAATCAAATAACTAGCTACGTTTGAATCCGAATGAAAATATAATATACAATCTGTCGCTGACTGTCAAAAAAATATAATATGATAATTTACGACTAGATGCGGATGAGGAATATACAACGCTGAAAATATTAGCCGATCTGAGAGACCGCATTTAGAGCGGATAACTCCTCTCCGCCTCCAAATGCTCTCCGAGAGCTTTGTTGCGTCGTTCCTAACGTCCAGCATCCAACATATCTCGCCTGCGCTCAAGGATGTTGGGATCTGCCTCCATGAATTCCAGCCGGCGCAATCGCTTCGTTTGACTTTGAAGAAGAGCTCCACTGAATCTAATTGCCTGGCTGTGGGATGCTCGCATATATTTGCGTCGCAGGCAGGGAAGGCCGTGGTTCATGTGTACAGTCGGGAGAGAAATAACCAGGAAGCCACCGTGCCTTTTCCGGAGAGAATTCGAAGTCTTGCGTTGGCGGGGAGGGATCATGAACCAGGATTGTTAGTCCTGGGGACGGAAAGTGGAAGACTTATTCTGTGGGAGGTGAGGGAACTCTTGCATGATGCTTCGCCTGGGGCCGCCGTATTGAAAAAGTCACTCGTTTCCTAACATTCTCCTTTGTCGCAGACATGTACAGGACGCCAAGTATCGACGACAGCATCACATTTACAACCTGTTACTTCGTTAGTAATAGACCCGACCAATAATTTTATTTTATCTGGCTCAGAAGATGCCAACATCCATGTCTGGTCGTTACCGCTTCTGACCTCCTTCTCCCGCCCTTCCACATCCCAGACACAACCACTACCTAACCACCCTCTTCGGACATTCACCAACCACAGAGCACCAATTACGAGTATAGCAGTTGGCCATAGTCGTAACAGGATTAATATTGCGCTTTCTACGTCGCGTGATAATACTGCGATTGTGTGGGAGTATAGAACTGGTAAATTATTACGAACCTACCTGTTGCCAGGCACGCCTCTCTGCTCGACAGTGGACCCCGCAGATCGCGCATTTTATGTTGGATACGACGACGGCAGCGTTCAATTGGTAGATTTCTTCAAAGAACCGTCAATTCAGAACATCCTTCATGACAGCAGCCAGCAGTCTGCCCCCTCACAACCTTCGGCGAGCGAACGCTGGCTCCCTCCAAACGTTGAATTGGGACCAATACAATGCCTTTCTCTCTCATACGATGGTATGATGCTCCTATCAGGTCATAGGAGTGGTGCTATTGTGTGTTGGGATGTTGCCAAGGGTAGATACGCGTCTACGCTAGCGACTTATGCCTGTCCGGTAACCAATCTGCAGATGTTGGCTCCAGTTGGCTTCCCAGAAACGGAAAAACAAGTACCTGGAATGACTATTCATAATATTGTCAAGCCGCGATATGATCATGCCCTTTTGAATTCGTCGCGAATGGGGGACATTATCCCGGCAACATACACTCTCCAAGCTCACCTAATCGCCCCCCTACGTTTTGTCAACAACCGCCGATTGACAGAATCGTCTCTGTCAAAAGATGAATTCTCTGAAGCTTTAACCCATCCCTTTTTCCCATATTCTCTGATATCAGAGGGATTGGCAGAGCTAGATGTCTTGGGCACTAGTCCCTCCAACTCATCTACCAACGTCCAGACGACTCAGGAATTGGGTCAGCATGACCTTCAAAATTCTAAACTTCAATCTCTCGAGGAAAAAATTGCCCGCCTGGAAAAGACATCTTCCCTCCAGGAATCAGCAACAAAAGCTAGCGTTGCAGAAATTGTACAACTTCGGCAATACATAGCCAAACTAGAAGATCACAATAACGATCTTTATGAGAGGCAGCAAAAATCGCAACAAGCAAAGCTTGAGAAGCAGGCACGACGGGAAGAACGTGCTCTCAAGCGCAGGGAAGCTTGGCTTGAAGCTGAGAAGAAAGGCCAGAATGGTGATGCGGTCGTGCGGAAAATGGAGATTGAAGATGAAGAGAAGACGAGTGAGACGGATGTTATGAGTAGTGATGATGATTAAGCGTGCCACTCATATATACCCAGTGCTGTCTCGTTTTTAACTCCTCTTGAATATATCCTCATGGAATACATGTAATCAACTGCTTATCTTTTCAGGGCGAGCATCTTTAATCAAAAAAGGGCGAAATCTTGGTTTGGAAAAGGAGGGCCGGAGTTCCATATACTGATTTCCCTACATAGTTTAAGACAGTTACAGGTGAATGACACCCCCGTTAAAAAAGGAACCAAGGAAATTTCACCTGGAACCGTCATTTTCAATTTCATACTTATGTATGATGTGAAAAACGCATAGTCTTCGCTGTTTCTTCAAAGCTATACATCGTATCAAATGAAGTGTTACCAGAGGCTTTATTAGCCACAATAAGTTATTTGATCGTTTCTGCAAACGAAAAGGTTTATTTCATATATCTCAAAATCCATGGAATTCGTCATGCGATCAACCTCTTGCTAAGAGCCGTTCTTCTCAACCACACCCCTCAACCCCATTAGCCCTAACCAAACCGCCTCCTCAGTCCTAATAGTGCGGCTTCCCTGTCCTGGAAGCACATTCACCCAATAATCGAACATATTTCCAACTGTTTCAGGCCTCAAGCCTCTCGCCAGTAACTCCTTGTCCGCCTTCACTGCAACCTCAAGACCAGCCACCCCTCCAAAAACGACAATTAAGTGTTCGAAGTTGGGAACCCCTTCTGTTATGACCTGTGATAGAGGCGAGCCGCGTTCTGAGGTCCCAAATGACAGATCGTACCCTCCATCAAAGGGACATTCAGTGAACACGTCGGATAATGAGTCGCAGCACCGGACCGAATATCCCCAGTAGTACCCCATTTCTTCCCGCGGAGTAGAGGGAGAGACCACCTCGGCACCTTGGGATGGATCCTCTGACGAACACAGTTTCACGGTTACCCTCGTATTTTCCGGAACGGGTATATGTGGTATGCAGACTTTATTTGGAAGACCTGTGTCAACTAACGTATAGGACATCACCGTGTCCTGAACCCCTTCCTCCATATTCTTCTTCCCTTTCTTTCGTTTATGCTGGTTGTGATGATTTTCCGCATTCGACTGCCCAAACCCGTGCTCCTCGTTGGCTGGGACTGTGACCCCTTCTCGATATTCACAACTCTCGTTCGCTCGTATATGATGCGGCATGTCCAGGCTCGGTAATGTCCCCGCAGTCCGGAGATTTTTGTGCATAGGAAACAAGAATTTTCGGAGGTACGGGGGAGTTTCTAGGTAGGAAAGGACATGTGCAAGAAAATGCGACGGGTCGGAATAAGCAGTGTATTCGTCTTTGCTCAAATCGTAGTGGGCGTTTGACTGCCTCTGTCGAACGTCATCCTCGAATATTACGACTTCATCGACGCAGAATACTGCCAGCGCTCGCGCGATTGAGCCAGCGAGGAAGGTTTTTTGGTCGTGGGATTGGGCACTGTTTCGGGAACTCGTGTCAGGCAAATTCCGCTTTTAATTCTCTTTGAGGGACAGCCAGCATTGAGGGCACACTTAGCAATAATGCTTCCCGGAAGAGCAACGCTCAACGTATACGATCTGCCTCCCCGCGGGGTAAAAACGGCAGTGGGCTTGGACGTGTCTACATCAATTCCGTCATTGGGTTCGGAAAATTGCTCGTGCGTTATTTTTCTTTTCTAAAAGTCCAAATATGGAGATTAGAACATCAGAGCCCATGGCACATCGAAGCAGTCTCCTTTGGTCTCGGCGTACATTTGATTTATGCATGGCTGGGCGCAAAGGTCTCCTTGAAGTGCGGGCTTCCTTCTGGGTAGCTTGAGACACAGGTGAGCGCCACAGTGATAAACAGACACAGCCTTCTTAACATGCTAAAAATGAAACAACCTTCCCTAGCAGGCAAGCCAATTGGAAATATTCATCCAAGATCGAAGCTATATTCGGAGCTTTGATGTTGTTAGATGCATATATATTCTCAAAAAAACTTAAAGCTCTCTCCATCTTCACGTGATGTGATTGGTTCGATCTTATCAGATGCACAGAAGATGATCTTATCACAAACAGTAAACTATGTAACTAGCTATTTATTGACAAGGCAGAGCTAAACAGCTTCATGCGATGCTGAGAACAGGGGAATGTGACAGCCTCTCTCTCGAAGGCTTGAATAAACGTCGTATTTCTTTCTGTAGTTGTTTAAATAATTGAATTGGTGATTTCGCTACGGGATTATGAGATAGTCAAACATCCATTTAATACAATTGCTATTTACGATCACTCCTTCGCATCTTCCGCTCGTTCACACGCAGCCATTGGCTCTAATATATAGATGAAAAATTCCACCATCCTAACCATTGACCCGTAATCGTATCCAATGACTCTGAATTACGAATATCAATCCCGTTGATCTTCAGATTCAGAGAGCAGACAGGAACCCACCCATCCCCATCTCAATACTCTCCTTTTCCCTCCGCCGCACCAACCTCTTTTCCGCCCAACTCACTCACGATCTTGACGCCAGAACTAGTCCCAATCCTCTCCGCTCCGGCCCTGATCATTCGGATACAGTCCTCCGCCGTCCTCACACCACCACTAGCCTTCACTTTAACTCTATTCCCCATTGCTTCACAGACTGCCCTCATGGTCGCAACATCCTCCACGGTAGCCCCGGGTCCATTAAAGCCAGTACTGGTCTTGACAAAGTCCGCACCGGCAGAGCAAGACACCACACACCCCGAGACTATCTGGGCGCGCGTTAGCTGTGACGTCTCAAGAATAACTTTCAACACGATGTTGTTGCTGGAACCGTGATCGGTGTTGGGAGTGGGCTTTGAGGCTTTGCGCACAGCAAGTATATTTTCATACACCGCTGCATAATCCAAACGCTTCAGCAGTTGATAATTCAGAACCATGTCAAGCTCCGTTGCGCCATCGCGCAATGCAGCTTGGGTTTCAGACACATTTGCTGCAGTGCCATACGTCCCCTCGTGGAAGCCAATGACGCATGTCACTCCGACGCCGGTGTCCTTCAGCTGCTGGACAGTCCGTGAGACAAAGTTGGGGCGCACGCAGACCGTTGCGAAGTTGTATTTGATAGCTTCAGCGCAGAGGGTATCTATCTGAGCCTCTGTGGCGTTCAGGGCGAGTTGGGTGTGGTCGATTATTTTGGAAATGGCAGCCAGAGAATCTTTCGGGGTTGGATAGCGGCTGGTATTTATTTCGGGGAGGCTGTTGAAGATTCGAGTGATTAGCCTGCTCCATTCGGCGTTGTCTGTGGGGGTTGAGGTGCCCATTATACAATATGTTGGAATCCGTGCTGGTAGTTCGGTTGAAAGTTCCGGTAAGAAGATGATGCTCTAGCTCTCTTAATTCGGAATTAAGATGCTAATATCCGTCCGCTGGGATAAAGGTGTGTCGTGATCCAAGGCGGGTGATGTCTGGGGTTTTGTATATTTATGAGCTTTAATTTCATTGAGTGTAGACAGTTCGCTTTTAAGCATGTAATTCAAAGAGACAGCCTGCAGATACATGAAAATGCACCTGTGATAGTAGATGTAACTATCTCACATAAATATCTCCACCTTTGTGTTCGCAAAGAGCCAGAAGTAGAACTCTCTCAGATCTGAGATATTATATCCAAGATGTGACAAACGTCTCCAATGCAACAGTTATCAACAGACTGTAAAGGTCTATTACACAGAAGGGTAATAAAAACGAAGAAATATAAAACGTAAATAAAAGCAAGACAACTCCCCCAAAGAATCGGGCAAGCTGCCAAAACATAATCCAAAACTGTGACCTCTCACCTAGGCAATATCTGGTTCGTCCGTGGTCGATCTGTAGGCTTAATCAGTTCCCTCTCCCCGGGCAGTTCAAGAAGATCAATACGACCGTACTCAGCAATCAATCGCGGGGTGTTGAGATGACATTCAGCGCCACCTCAGTCTTCCCCACGGGATTAGATTCAAGATATTCAGTGGAAGTTGGACTTGTGGAACGTCTACAGTCTCATACAAATATACCATTTGGCAGCATAAACCGCATCTACGTAAATTTATTAGAGGGCGATAAAGCAAGACAGCTCCTAGCTTCCAATCTACCTCTGTCGAGAACAAGTTGAAAATTGAAAATTGTTCGGAACCATATGATTGCCAGTAGAGGAAACGAGAACATCCATACAGCAAGGGAGCAGGTAGGGACATCCATTTTACCAAAACGCATAGATCCCAGACATGGGAGGGGGGAAATACAAAACATAGGTATCATATCAACTTCATCCTCAATTCTCCCATCTATCCCATCTCATGGATAAAACCGCAGCAAAATACAATTCTCTACCACCCCGCGTCCGTTCTCGCATCCAATCATCTAGCCACAGCCTCCACTCCCACACTCCGGTCCCCGGATATCATCAACCCGCCCAATACGTTTCGTAAGTCCTGCACCGCTGCCACCAAGCCTCTTACCAGGACCACCCGGTCCTCCGCCGCCGCCGCCACCACCACCGCCACCACCACCGCCACCACCACCACCACTACCACTACCACCCGTCGAACTGCCCCATCGCGGCCGGTGGAGCTGCGTATTGTTTATGTTCTGGACATTGAATTGGGAGTTTTGTGCTGCTAACGAGGCGTTGAGCTGTATATATAGACGAAGGGAGGATTAGCTGGTTGGCATCCTGTTCGGTGGAGGAGGAGGAGGAGGAGGAGGAGGAGGAGGGGGTATTACACATACCGAGAAGAAACTGACAACGTATAGTCCGAGGAAGATATACAGGTCATCGATGAAGTAGCGGATTCGGGCGGAGATAGGCGGGCTGTGAGATTGTCAAACGATTGCAAGACAGGTCACTCACTGATGAAGTGTTGCGTGTGAGAAGACATACCGTTCGAGCATGTGCCCGCTGGAGATGTAGGGTCTCGGTGCAGACATTATGACGACTCTGTATTTCATGTGCTTAGCTGAGTCGCTGATATATGTAGAAAGCAGGCAGCGATTCAGAAGGGGAAGTCGAACATACAATAACCAACTATCCTAAGAGCAGTAAGCAGCGATAAGCCGAGGAAGCCTGAATAGTTTTGTTAAGTTGGCGTTTTGAGTTGTTTCTTCTATTATTCAAAGATTGGTTTGGCGTGGTATTTTTGGTAATTACGGTACGGGTAAATTAATGCATACTTTGTATCAATTATCACAAATATCAGGGAGAGATCATTCAGGGGTTCTAATTACAGCTTGAAGGACTTGGTGTGTGCATTGTATATGTGAACAGAAATAAAGACGAGATGGACGTTCAATCTCGGGATAAAGCAGTATATCCCTAGCAACTAAATAGGAATGCTCTGAAACAGACAGCGTTGCGCGTAAGATCCCAAGATGCTTCCCTAGATATCGAAAAATTTCACAGGCCCATCCTCGCCAAAATGCAGGTGCAAACACCCAATCAAAGGTAATCTCAGAATACGGTCGTTGTATGGGGAAAGCGAGTATGAAACTGCTCTACCGTCAAAAGAAAGCAACGAAACCCTCAAGTTTTCTGTGATGCCCTTAGTTCATCGAGGAGAACCATCTCTTCCGTCCCTCCAAGCCCATCTAGCCCCTGAAGCCCATCTTCAACAGTCCATTTCGCACCCGTCAATGAATGAAGCACACCGCAGCTAGCACCCACAACAATGAGTCCAGGCGGCCTTGACCCTTCTTCCTGAACTGCTAAACAAACATGCTCCAGCGTTGACCGTATGACTCTCTGGTCAGCACAAGACGCTCTCTCGATCACTGCACACGGCGTATTTTTGGGCCACAGGATCCGTGAAATAGGGCTCTTATCCACCTCGGGACGACTGGTGAGTGACTCGGTGAGAGATGGGAGTCTGTGCAACGCCATGAGGAAAACAACTGTCTGCGAAGGAACATAACTAGGTGGCTCTGGTGCTGCACCCTTGCGTCCCGTACCGGTGCAGATGAGCACCTGATCAGAAACGCCCCGGTGTGTGGCGGGTATGTCTGCGAAGAGCGGTGCGCTTAGTGCGCTGGTAATCCCAGGCAGAACGGTAGGGACATATCCCTCGTTTCTAAAGAAGTCGTACTCTTCTGCTCCACGGCCGTAGAGATATGGATCCCCTTGTTTCAGTCTTAGCACGGTCCTGCCAGCTCGTAGTGCCGTAACTCCCATTTCGAGTAATTCTTCCTGCGCTCTGTCTGCGTTTCCGGGGAATTTTCGGGCGATGTGGACTTCTGTTCGTCGTGGGATAAGATCAAGCACGGGTGACGGAACTAGCTTGTCGGCTAAGATGAGGTCTGCATTTTTAATAGCGATGAGAGTTGCTCTGGTGAGGAGATCAGGATGGCCAGGTCCGGATCCGGCAAGGATAATTCTCCCTTTCTTTGGTGCTAATGAGGGTCCAGCGTCCCCCGCGGAAGAGGTTTTGCCGCTGGCAGATCGATATGCTGCTAGTATGGTCTCGACTTCAGCGCCTGTGATAGAGGCCAGTCGACGAAGTGGCCAATACTCGCATATTTGCGACAGCCACCGCATTCTGCGAGTTTTTGCTGCTTCATTGTCCTCTGGCGTCACGAGGGAGTTGAATGTATGTTTCTGGGCCGTCGAGTCATCGTCTCCTATTTCAAATGGTAGATTTTCAGGAGCCGTATTGGTCAAATGATCATCTTCCCAGATACGTGTCCTGACAGTACCTAGGGTTTCAATGGCGGCACCAAGGCCAGAGGGGAGAGAGGAAGATATCTCCCGCCGTAAACGTGCTGCTAATTTACAGCCTCTGCCAGAAGTTGTTATCCCGATGTGGAGAGGCCCATCCGAATAGGTAGATAGGAGAGTAAAGGTGCAAAGATCCGGCGCGTCTGAAACATTCACTGGAATCCGTAACCGGCGGCAAAGTCGATAAATATGCGAACCTTAAAGCGACGGTCAACAAATGTAAGATGTTGACGAGAACGTCTAATGAAAAGCATACTCAAAGGATTATTCCTTCCAAGCGTAATGAACACGGCATCAACAACACGGTCAACGTCCTCCCGCCCCAACGTTTTCAAATCATCGTCTTGAAATATCCGCGCGATCCAGCGTACCCGGCCCTCCTCAATCTTCTGTCGAAGAGGAGAGTGCATGACCACGCTCTCAGGCGCAATGACAACGGGAATAGCCCCAACGTCAAGACACTTAGAGCAGCGGGCAGCCGCAAGCGGATTTGCACCAACAATCAGATGAACTTGCGCCTTCACATCTAGTGCAGCTAACAGGGGAGCTGGCCCGGGCACTTCATACGATAGATCTTTCATCTCTTGATATTTAATGTTTCCGTATAATTCTCAGCAGAGATTCAAAGTGCATGGACAAAACAATGGGTATACGGTACAAAAATCATTTAACAAACCTCGACTTCAACAGTATCCAGAGAAGAGACAAGAAGAAGCTGAAGCAGAAATCTGAAGAAATTCCGTAGAGAATCAGCGAAATAGTGTTCCATTATTAAATGAATAGAAGCTTTCAAAAACAGAAGATTTTACTATCCATCCACTGTTAAACCATGTCCAACTAGGAAGAGGAAAAAGAGGTTGCCGGGGATAAGAGATGAAGAGTATATGAGAAACCCCAAAAACCCAAAAACCAAAAGGAATATGATTAATTGGTTATATTTTACATCTACTTTCTCCCTCTTTAACACTAAGTTTTTGTGAGTCCTTTAAAGGATGGCGTGATCGCCCAGGCCATGATGATATAAGCAGCATATCTTCATCACATGATAGACATAGGATATAGGGTGACTTGACAAGCTATCCACAGACGGCAAATAATACCCTGTTGGAAATCTCCAGGTTCTTGCCATTGTCTGCTGCCTCAGGGAACCGCATCAAAAGAAGAATGGAAAATGGAAATTGGAAATTGGAAATTGGAAATTGGTGGTAAGATGATTCTGACATCTCTTGTCTATGAAATGTGCTGTTCGACTTGCGGAAGCATTTCGAAGGAGGTTGGTGGAAAGTAGCTGAAAGGCCGTGCAGCCGAAGTCATAAATCAGAGGAGGATTCCAACATCCAAAGAGAGTAGAGAGATTTTGGGTCCTTTTGAAACCGGCATCAGAGAAGCAGAGAAGCAGAGAAGCAGAGTGATTTCTCAATAGTTTAAACCCGATGTAGAGTGAGCACCAACACCGGTATTCGGTAGCAAAATGCACCGATTTTGAAACCAATCCATGGAAAAGCCCGAATGTTGTCGCACCATTGGTTTGGAACCCAGTCGCTACCTACCTAGGCATAGCAGGTTGGCCAGAAGAAGTGCGGCATGATAACCATCGTGTGGTATTTGCGCAGTTTCAACCCTTGAGCTTTTGCTTGTAGTTTGTTGTTCCGTCAAGTTCGATGAGATAAGCGCGCGCTAATCACGCTGACACATCAGTCTTGAATAACTCCACGATATTAAACTAACCGCCAACATTTATATGAGCTGCCGCATTTTTACTTCATGCGTAAGCAACATCCCAAACCAAGCCCCAGTTACGGTTGTGTTTCTGTTTGTCTCCCCCGCCACTTCAACCGAATACGTTTCCCTGATCACTGATTTCTAGTGATAACTTCTATCCTGCCACCGGAACCAGTGCTGCGAAATCGACGAACGGAATATTGGTACCCCAAATCTTCAACTTCTGCCTCTTCTGCCACAGCTGATACACGCCCTCTCCAAAATGTCGAACGGTACCTTATTCAAGGCCGACAAGGACTTCACAAAAGATGTGGATGCTCTGGTCCCGGAGGCGCAGGAGCTGGCAAAGGTTTGGCTCCAGGTTCACTGCCTCCGAACGAAAGCGCAGCTACTAATTTCAACCGGCCTGCTAGACCAACGTCCACCAGGCCATCGACAAGCTTTTGGTTCTCGAGAAACAAGCCAGACAGGTAAGTGCCCTCTAATATTCACTCGACATTGCTATATATGGATGCTGACTGGAACCGCCTCAAGGCGTCGGATCTACCCTCCACCTCCAGACTACTTGTTGCTATCGTTACTATCGCCAAAGAATTAGGAGACTGGAAACTGCTGAACGAGCAAGTCATCGCCCTTTCGAAGAAACATGGCCAGCTCAAACAAGCTACGACGAAGATGGTGCAGGTTGCAATGGGATTTATTGATCAGACTCCCGATATGGAGACCAAGATGGCATTGATCGAAACTCTGAGGACGGTTACAGAGGGCAAGGTTGGCTTTCCACCGCACCTGATAATCATAGATGGCTGTTTCTAATCGGCATGGTCTATAGATTTTTGTCGAAGTGGAAAGAGCCAGAGTAACGCGCATCCTGTCCAACATCAAAAAGTCCCAGGGTGACCTTACCAGCGCTGTCGATATTCTGTGCGAGTTGCAAGTGGAGACGTTTGGGTCCATGTCGCGGAGGGAAAAAACTGAATTCATCCTGGAACAGGTGTCTCTGTGCATAGCCAAAGGGGACTGGACGCAAGCCGGGATATTGAGCCGCAAGATTAGCACCAGATACTTTGCCCGAAAACCCAAGAAGACTCCTGAGGAGCTTGAGAAAGAACAACGAGAGATCGAAGAGCGAGAAAGAAACCGCAAACCCGATGACCCACCAATAGAGAAGCAAGAGGATGTGACGGACCTGAAATTGAGGTATTATGAGCAACAGGTCATTCTCGCAAACCATGAGAATAAATACCTCGAGGTTTGCAAGCACTACCGACAGGTTCTTGATACCGAATCTGTTGAACAAAACCCAGCGGTGCTGCGTGCGGTAAGCTTGTGTATCCGTTCCCTAGGCAACTCGAAATGACCCTGCCAACTAACCTCGTCCAAGACACTTCAACGAATTATCTACTACGTGGTTCTATCGCCCCACGACAACGAGCAATCAGACCTCCTTCACCGCATCCAAGCGGATTCCCGAAACGCCCTGGTTCCTGTCGAGGCTCGTCTCCTCAAACTATTCACCATAAACGAGCTGATGCGATGGCCCATGGTCGCTGAGCAATTCGGCCCACATCTCTGCAGCACGGATGTCTTCGACGCCCAATCCGACCCATCAACGGACAACAAGGCGTATACCCGATGGCAGGATCTGCGCAAGCGTGTTATCGAGCACAACGTCCGCGTGGTTGCGAAATACTACACCCGCATCGAGATAGGGCGCTTAACCGAACTACTGGATCTCAATGAGGAGGAAACGGAAAAGTACATTTCCGATCTCGTCACGTCCAAGACCGTCTATGCGAAGATAGACCGCCCAGCTAGAATTGTGAGCTTTGCTAAACCGCGAGATGCTGATGATATATTGAATGAGTGGAGCAGTAACATGAAGAGCCTGCTTGGCCTGCTTGAGCGCATCGATCATTTGATTACTAAGGAGGAGATGATGGCACGAATTAATCCGTCCCATCCCGAGCGAGGAATGACGAGAGCTCGCTGAAGGTGTTTCTTCTCCGTTCTCTTTTTGGTGATAATGGATTTATTTTTTATGGGATTGTGTAGAAATGAATGTACAATAAAAAGTACTTTCTCAAGATATCTTTCTATCTGACAGATCGTAGGTGGGATTTATTTACTAAATGCTTTCGTAAAAATATTCTCATTTATAGTATAACTGGGTGCCTAACCTCAGTTTGATGTGGATTCTTAAATTTTCTACCAAGAAGCCCCCACCAACCCTGGTATATACATATATCTATATGGTGTGTTAATACCTTCTAAAGCCAACGCATTCAACATGATACCCCACACATCCACTACCAAACCACCATCTAAAACGGGACCTCCATCTCTTCCGCACTCCCTTCCGCCTCCCCCTCTGCCTGCCCCACGCCTGCCCTCTCCAAACACCCCCTAACAAATCTAACCACCCCATCCAAATACTGCCTCTGGCTGGGCAAAAAATGCCCACCAGAGTGCCAAATGACTTTCCCATCTCTCTCCGCATCCCCTTCACAAGCACCAATTAGCGCCCTACTCCGCTCCTCCTCGACAATCACATCCAAGCTACCCAACACATGCAGCACGGGCGTCTGGATCCTCGGCCGCTCGTAGAAGGCCCGATATCGCGGCCCAGGCGCTATGAAGCCAGAGTAACATATGGCAAATCTGAGGGGCGGGTGGGTGAGGTTCTGAAAGGATTGGGGGAAGGAGATGCCTGTAATGCTTTCACCGGCAGCATTAGCATTAGCATTAGCATTAGCATTAGCAGTGGTGGTGGTGGTGGTTGATGGATTATTTGCCGTTTCCGCAAAGTATTCGAACGATACTTTTCGTGACGGCTCGAGCAAACTAGCCACCATCGCTGCAAAGGCGGCTCCCTGGGAAAAGCCAATTACCCCGTCGAAGGGGCCCTCTTCAGCGAGCACGCGGGCAACGGCGTCAAGTCCCTTTTCCAGCCCGACATATTCGGGTGGATTGGCAGTGTTGGAGCGCCGCCACCAAGCAAAGATCTCTGGTTGTTCATCGCCTGTGTCTGAGGTGGAGGAAGGTTGGAAGTTTGGGATATCTGCGGGGGAGAGGGCGAGGGGTCCTGTGGGGTAGGAGAGAGAGACGGCGTGGAGGGGAAAGGACTTTTGGATATGCTTTTCCAGCGCGCGGGTTTTGGCGTGGAAGAGAGGGCCGGACTGGGTGTAGCCGTGTAGCATGAGGATTTTTAGAGGAGGTTTGGGAGGGGAGGGTTGAGAGGCCATGGTGACGGTGGAGGCGAGGAGGGGGGGTGCGAGCAGGACAAAGGAGCGGTTGCTGGGCCTTGATATCTTTATTAGAGAGCAAATGAGGCTGAGTGCATTGCCGCAGAGAACCATAGAAGATACGTGAGATCAAGGCGGAATAGGAACTGTAACATGAAGGCGTAAGGGAATGGTTTGTTAAAGGGTAAATGTTGATCGTTGCTGTTGATTTATAGATAAAAGAGTTTGAAGATCCTTGGGAGATTAGATGAGATAAGATTAGGGTTGGCTGACTCAGCAGCCGCGTTCCACTCCCGGCTTCTGGAAGGTTACAGTACGGCAGTACGGTACCCGTACATACATCCATACATCCATACATCCATCTATCCATCCAATACATATATATCCATGCATCACCTCTCGGATATATTAATACTAGATCCAATTTCGGGCCTGGAATTCGCGGAAATGAGGAGTCTCGAGCTAAAGTTCTATAGCGATGTTCACATGGCTATTTTCCTGGGCTCTTTTGGGCAGAGTAAAAAAACAACATCCAGTTCCTTCTGCCCTTGCAGCTGCTTGACCTCGAATTTCAAATGCCACCGCTAGATTCAGAGAAGCCGTAAAGAATGAGGTATATGCCAGGCCTCTCCGGCTGTGTGAATCTACTGGCTATATGCGTAAGCTATTTTGTCTTTCTTTCATTGCTTCAACTTCCCTGCATTGTCACAGCGAACGCCCCTATGACCGGGAAGAACGAGGATCCCAAGTCTCCTTCACCAGTTGCTCATGACTCTCATGAACGGGGAGACTTCAAGCTTGCCGATGCTCAAGAACTGCTGCAAAAACTGCCCTTGAAAACAAAATGGATAGATGACTTGGAAAACATTCCCTTAGACATTCGAGACCCGTTTGATCCTTCTTATCACAAGGACAAGCTATTTATCGGTACGAGACGATAACCACTCCCTCCACCCAAAAAATTATACATACATACATACATACATACATACATATGTATATGGATCCCCAACTTACATTATTTTATATTTGCTCATTATATTCTAGTTGACCGTCTCATCCCGCCGCAGGCTATTTTGTCCTTCTCCATATTTTCCTTTGACGGGACACTGCCCAATGGGGAAAATACCACTTTGCCTATCTTCACCAAAGAAGAGGTAATGTATACTATCATTCCCTACAAGGAATGGGCTTTTCCCCCACATGACGCCTTGGAATTGCCCGTCAACGAGCTTCTGCTTACTAGCATTGGTTCAAACGAGGATCCCGGCCGTCTCACCATAGTGGATAAGTCAGTGCACGCCATGAAGACTCGGTTATGGGAGGGTATGGTTCCTCTATCGCAAAACCAATGGCGTGAAAAGGAGCTGCATAAGGCCGAAAACTTCGAATATGCCTGCCAATATATCGAAGCTGTTATCATTGCGTTTGATTACCTTAATGTTCCCAAACATACCTCGTATATGTGCGGCACATTCAATTCTATTTATGACCACTTGGAGGAATTTGATAATGCATTGGATAGACTGCGACGTTCTAAGAGCGAGCAGGGACCACGTCAAGAAGCTAAAATGGCAGCTTTGTGGGAGGAGTTTATTCGTGTTCGTTACGAGGTCATGACACGGCGCGCACACGACTGGGTTATTTCTCACCTTGAGGACCTACGACAGCCGCTCCTCCAACACATACGCACACAGGGTCCTGTGTTAAAGGATACTATAAGCCCGGATCAGTTGGCCATCGTGAACAAACTGCGTAGGCTAGCTGGGCTTGCTGCGGAGGCTGATTATACTATCTTCATGCCCATGGACGGCTATAGAGGGCATACCACCCCACCTCCCGAGGAAGTTCCAGAAACGCAAAGCCCAGATCTAGCCACACGCCGTTGGGCATATCTCGATAAACTTAAATTCGACACCCTTACAACGGGCATGACCAAAAATATGCGAGAAAACCTAGTCAGGAGCCCAGGCGAAGAACCCGCGCCCAAAACAGAGAAGTCAGCGCAAGCCCACCTGTACCAGACCATTGACACTCAACTTGAGGCCCAGAAACGAACGCGGCAAAGGGTTCAATGGTATCCAGAACCCGAACTACTTTCACCTGTAGCATGGATCGGCGATATATTGAGAGGCATCCGTGACTCTGCGAGCACAGATCAACCTGTTCGCAAAGTCGGGTTTGTAATTTACAGGCTCTGCTATGACGGTGACACGGCCCATGATAATGTTTGGTCTATGCTTTTGAATGATATAAAACAAGATCTGGCAGATTGGGGCTCCGGCATCGACGGAGCAGAGGACCTAAAGCCATTTTTGGAACTACACCCGTTTGACGGGAAGAAGTTGGGGCTTGCGGAAGATGACATTGATGGTGCCAAAAAGTATGTATAGCGCATATCGACGTCACAACACTCCCCCAAAACGAAAGAAGAGAATGGAGAAAAAGACAAAACTGTGTATTACCTGGCGAAAAGGTAAAACAAGCTGCTAATAAATAAAATCGACACCAGACACTTCGCCAAGTTCCTCGCCTCCCCCGACTTCCCACGAGGCATGGACGAAAACTCATTCCTAGTCCTTGACTCCGCCAGCTTCTCCTCCTACAACTTCGCCAATAACATCACGACAACTACAACTACAACTACAACAACAATGACAACGACAACGCCCTCCTCCGCACAATTCGACACCCGTTTCCTCCTCGCCGTCGACGCAAGTTTTGATCCCGCCGAGGGCCTTGAGCGGCCCGAGGAATCGCCCGGGTACATTGGTGAGATGCGCATCCAGACAAGCTTGATCTGGCCTGAACTGTTTGCACTGTTAACGGCGCAGGCTCAGTGGATGGAGGAGCTGTGGCCGTTGGCTATGCGGCATCCGCAGAAGATTTACGTTGGGTATGTGGTGCCGGAGATGTTGAAGAGATGGAGAAGTTCGACTGTAAATATGGATGGGGGGGTTGCGGGGGGGTTGGGGGGGAAGGGAAAGGGGAAAGGGAAAGGGAAGGGGATGCCGGGGCTTGTGGAAAATATGCTGGAAGGGTTGGGGCATGTTACGAGTTTTCTGAGCGGGGACAGCAGTAAGGGTAAGGAGTTGTGATTGGGGTTGGTTTTGGTGAATCGTTTTGGATAGTATTTTTGCATTATAGTTTCCCTACCCTGCGTATCCTATTTTATTCATCTCCACTTTTACTTTTCGTAAACTCGCATTTACAAGTCCCAACAGCAAAACCACTTGGCCAATATTCATCACCACCTGTATATGGCAGCTTAAGTCGCAGAGAGGCAGAAGGGCAAGGGATTTCAGGCAGACCACGAGCAAAGGCCTCACTGTGGATGTTCAACGGATCGAACAGTTCTCCAAAAGTGATTGCCTTGGCAACCTCCATTGACGTGAATCACCAAACCATTCCCGTTGCAACCTTAGCACACTGAATGAAATACAAGGCAGCTTTCCACATATCTCGTTTCGGATCCCTGGGCCTATTTGGCTGTTGATATTTGCTGATCTTGGTAGGGAAATTAGGGTAAACGAAGCTGCGAGAGCATTTTGACGCTTGAAGTTTCTTATCGTTTGTTTGCCTGCCAAAAGTCGGAAGCAAAATGTACAGGATGGTACACAATTTCAGAACTGGTTTTCTGATTTGCAAGATACCTGGAACTTCCTCCTCTTTCCCTTTCTTTCTGGGGTTTGTCGGGTAATAGTCGGGTGAGAGAAAAAGGAACGCGAAAATGCCTGTATGCAAGTTGAATCGTTGTTATTTATTTATTTATTTATTTTTTTTTTTTTTTGCACGTTATTATTTTTGTGGCAGTCACTGGGGGAAAAAACGAAGCGGATATTTCCATCTTCTATCGGCAGATCGTATCGTAGGGTGAGCACCAAAAAAAAAAAAGGATGTTAGAACGCAAATGAAAGAAAATGAAAGCAAAATTAAGACGACCAGAAGATATTTGACAGAAGTTAAAAACGCCATTTTCGATTTATTTCCCGATAACTTTGAGGTGATTTTTTACTTTATCAAACAACAGCCATCGTCATCACATCATCATTCAAGGCGCGGACCCCCCTCTTCTCTACTTTCTCCTAAAAGAACAGCCTTCGGTCAATCTAGCCTTGCCACCAGTGGGTTGGCAGAGGACGGTCGAGCAGCCGGCACAGATGACGACGGTCTGGGCGTGTGAGAAGACGGTGGTGATTGTGAAGCAACCGGGGCACTTGACGTCCATGAAGAAGGATCGAGGAGCAGGCACAAGCATCTGTTTTAGATCGAATGCGTGTTAGTTCATCTGATCAATGCCTGGAATAATCTCCATATCTATATGATACCCCTGCGCATGCCAACGGTTCGAAAAGGAGGGAGGAGAGGTTATAGCGTACCTTCAGCTTGTGCTTGCGGGCCTCCGCCTGGGGCGTAGGGTTGAGGAGATCGACCGCGAGAACCTATTGGTGAAAGTGAGTGTTAGTGTTGGCTTCTTCACAAAAAAAAGAAAAAAAAATTAATAAATTGTCGATACCAGAGACGGCGGGGTTAGGTGAAGACGGTAAGTGATAGTGAATAATAATAAGTGATGATAACCAGACATCTCTCACACATCACACGACCGGAGAGGAGCTTACCATGTTGACAGCTTGGAGACGGTGTCGATGCTATGACCTGTGGAATGAACTTGTCGAGATAGACAGTCGGAGCGAGCAAGTTCAAAGGGTCGATAAAGAGGATCTCGGAGGGCGGCGATGAGGAGACTGAGAAGATTCGTGTATCTTGGGCGAGAGGAGGAGAGATGTTGAAAAGGGTCACTGAGGATGACTAATATGGGCTACCGCAGCGGAATTGTGCACTCGCTTAGCCCGCTGTTTTGGGCTTAGCGTGGTCGAAGCTGAGTCAGCGTAACTTTATTTCAGCCGCAACATCAACTCCAGCCCCTGAACACCTTTCAACGTACGCAGTACAACATTCAACAACATGCGAGACGTATAAAAGGCCATGGCTTGGTGTTGATGCATTGTTAATATACTTAAAGATGGTGTATAATTCTATATTCACCAACAATCTCCGTTGCGTACAGGAGAACAACAAACAGAATGCCCTGGCATATACAAGCAAGTGAATATTTGGATATTTGCACAACCAAATAGATATCACTGACAATGTGCTTCTACTATAGTAGGATCTTTTTATTTATAAAGACACCAAGAATCTCCCTTGGATTCTGGCTCTACCTTGCTGCCCTCCTTTCTCATACTCTTAGATATCACACATGCTTCCATGACTTTAAAAAAAAAAGAACCCCCAACCTCCCATCAATCCTCCTTTAAAATCACCACCCAGTACATTCCCAAAAACATGACCTGGAGCACCTTCCCAACCTCGCATGTTACAACCTGGGGCCCTCCAAATGGCGGCGTCCCCTCACCATATGCTCAATCCCCAAACCCAGCAGGCTTCCGTTTCGTCGTAGACGAGGAGAACCGCATCATGTTCCACGAGGCCTGCTGGGCCCCTGTGCCCACCACAACCTACACCCACACCAAGGTAGGCCATGTTATAGCGGCCCCAGAAATGATGCCAATGATCGCCTGGCCCATGGGACCCGTCCCACCAGGCCAAAGCCAAGCGCCGTACTATTTTTTCCACCAGCACCAGATTGCTAGCGAAGTTTCAAAATTATCAACCACCCAGACCCCAAGCCCATTTCAACTCAATGGTGCTGGCCCTTGCACTGGACCTGGTGCAGACACGGACCGGGCACCGGGGGGAGCATACAACAATTCCCCCAAAACTCACCCGGGCACTGGTACTGGTACTGGTACTGCCGATGCACCACAGGTCTACCTAGTCCCCGGTGCGACATTCCTTGCAGGTGTCGACGCACATGGGAACTTGAAAACGGTGTTTACCGGGGTTCACTCGGCTGCGAACCTGCCTCCCGGTATCTCTACAGCAGGCCAGCCAGGTGTAGGCAATGCACCTCATTGTCCTGGGTAAAACGAATTATCGAACGCCAGTTATGAGGTCTTGCTTGGGCTGATAGGCTTCCATGAAAATAAACAAAGTTGTGCGTGATAGCCGTTTGATTTTCTCGTGATATGTTCGTCGCACTCGCGGAATATTGGGCGAAGATTATGTTTAGCATACTGGTTTCACCAGTATATTTGTTACTCTATGATTTGGTTTCTCTCTCTCTCTCTCTCTGTGTGTGTGTGTGTGGGTGTGGGTGTGGTCATTTGTGTAAGTGTGATATCCCCGACTTGCCTTGGTATCTATAAATGGATGTACGATTATGACTTGAAAAACTCCATTTCTCTTCCTTTTCCAGATCAAGTTCTAACCTGGTCTTCTTCAAACGCAGCAATCCATTTAATTTCTCATTTATGAATGTACGAGAAATATGACCAGACATCCACCCATTATACAAGCCATGCATTTAACACACCTTCACAATGACTAGCCATACAACTCTCCCTCTCATTTCCACGCATATAGATAACCTGTAATTGAAAGATCGACAAGTATTCATTGGAGTAAAAACGGGGGATAAACGAGGCGTGGGAATGAAAAGTAAAAAGGAGATAAAAAGGCATCAGCGTTATAGGAGGAAGAAAACGTATATTGTACATACAACGTAGCAACGGTTTATAGGGATATCTGACGAGAGACTAGGAGAAGGAGAAAAAGAAAACGGACAATAACAGGTTCATAGAATATACATAGACTGGAGATGCACAAAACAAAACGACGTGGAAAGGAAAAGCAAAAGAAAACAACAGCACCATCATCCATATAGCTTAAGGAAGTTGGTGATTATCATACATCCATACACTCAGGAGAAGCAAAACATAGCAGGCAATGTTGATATTGAGAACAACACGATAACTTAAACAAGGAAGAAAATAAGAAAGAAAAAGAAAAAGAAAAAGAAAAAAGACTTGAATGATGAGGAGGGCGGAGCGATTTTCAACGCCCGTAAACCACATATGTATGACTCACCCGCTCACAAACCACAGTTCCCATCCCCTCTGAACTGTTTCACTTATGAGAAAAACCATGAAAAGGCCGATACAGATCGGCTCGCACCTACAGGTCCCTGCTAGTTTAGATCCTCATCTTTTCATCGCCGTTATCATCATAGTCATTACCATTATCGTCATCATGACAGCTTCGGTTTCGGCGAAGAGTTTTCTATCACCACTTCCGCCTTCTCAGCTCCTTCGCAATATGGGTGCTTGATAGTCAAGCACCAGATATCCAGGTAGTCGCAGATGGTGGTGATGACGTCGAACTATATTCAAGCACAGAGTGAGTTTGCGATAGATCAAGGACACGATATTAAATTCCCCCTCGCACTCAAGAAGCAAGAGAAGTAGAGGGGGAAAAGGGGGAAGGGAAAGAACCCACCACAAAACTCCCATAAATCCCCACCGCCATCCCCAACGCCATAAACAAGAACGCAACCTGATACAACCCCTCCCCGTCCCCGTTCTCAACCCCCAAGATACTCTCCCACAACCTCACCCTGCCCGCAACCCCGTCCACAACCGCAACAACAAGCGGTAAAAGCAACACATTCCCATACGGAAACTCAGTCTTAACCAGATGCGCCACAATCATCCTCCCAACAGAATACGCATTAATAAGCCCCACAAACATAGAAAGAGGCACAAGATGCCTCTCCCGAATCACCGGCTGCAGGTACAAATACGCAGCCACCAAACCCCACAAGCCAACTGCCGGCAACAGGCCCAGCAGCGGCTTGTAGACATCCTGTCCGCGCTGGCGGCGGATGCTCATTACATTGTGGATGCTGTTTGCTGTGCTGAAGAGGAGGACGAAGGCGCCGTAGACGATGTACCAGGAGGTGAAGGGGAGGTTGTAGAGGGATGGCGGGATGGAGATCGAGGGGCCGATGCCGAGTGTTGGGAGCATGGGTTTGTGCCAGAAGCTTGCGCCGCCTTTTATGGCCGTTGTGGCGTAGACGGTGCAGAGTGTTAGGATGCCTTCGACGGGGCCGGAGATTATGCCTAGTGTTAGGGTTTGGGTATAGTATTCGTCCCATGTTTGGACGTAGAATGTGAAAGCAGCTGAAGGGAATGTCAGCAGGGCTCCCAGGATGGACATAGTGGGTGATAAATAGGGGAAGGGGGTAGGTACAGCCAAACAGAGTCAATACGGTAATCCATGATTGCCCCAAATTCGTTGCTCCCGCGAAGATGAGGACTTCCAGTACGGTATTGCAGGCGTCAACTCCTGGATAAAACGTCAGTATCCACGATCTTCCCTGGGGAGGGAGCCAAAATGCTTACCATGATCAAAAAGCTCGCCTAGAGGTCCACTTTGCTTAGTTCTCCGTCTGTGCATGGAAATGGAAAATTAGCACCAAGTCATGACCCTCCTCTAGCAACCCCGCTCAAGGGTTTTTCAAGCAACCCCCATGCATGGAAACATATTAAAAATCGTTGCACACATACGCCTGAGTCCCATCGACGGCATCGAAAGTCTGATAAAGAAACAAACCCACAGCCCAGCTAAGATAGACCCAAGGTGGACAGTCCTGGTCAAGAGTAGGGTTATACCATAGTAGAGTCAGGAGATTGATAACCACGAAACCGAAGCCCGTAAGTGTGATCTGGATAAATTTGAAGTTAGTTTTTTCGATTGACTGTTCATGGGGTAAACCAATGAAAAAGGAAAGGAGGGAATATTAAAGGAGCGAATATAAAAAGACAACAAAATGATGTGACATGTTTAGTGGCATCAGCAGAGGAAGGGAGGGGGTAAGAAAGACCTAATTCGCATCGTCCACTTACAGCATTTGGTCTAGAAGTGCGTTAGAGAAGTGAGAGATGTTAGTGTGAGGTTAGGATATGAAGCATTACAATGAACAAAAAAAAATGAATAACATAAATAAAATAAACCACAACAGAAGGGGGGGAAATGCAAACGGGCAAACGAATCACAATCACGTGTAACTCACGCCATAGACAGCGGGAAACACTTAATGACGACATGCGTGTAGAAGGGCTTGAGCACGTATCTGGAGACGAGCGACTTGTCGACGCCCGAGTAGCGGTACGTGCGCAGGGCGGGGAGGTTGTGTTGGCGGATGTAGACCATGGCTTCTTGGATTCGTGGAGATTCTTGGACCTTTGGATCTTGTTCTTGTACTTGTACTTGTTCTTGTTCTTGTTCTTGTTCTTGTTCTTGTTCTTGTTCTTGTTCTTGTTCTTGTTCTTGTTCTTGTTTCTTTGTAACCTCTGTCGGTAGATCGCTGTCCACCTTGGGCAGCTGGGCAGCTGGGCACTACCTCGCAAGTACACTGGGGTACCTGGGCAATTGGCGCGGCGCTATGCTGTGTATTTGCCGGGTGGATGGCTGGAGAGAACACCCTGGGTAGGTAGTAGAGGGAGTAGAGCAGCGAGAGGTGTCTATGTTAGAGGTATGGATGCAGATGCGCGCGCGCGGGGTGTTGTTGGTAGCGAAGCGACATGCGGAATATACAACATTGAATGAAAGTAGGTAAAAAAGTTTAACGAAAATCAAACCGTTGGAGAAAAAAAAAAAAAAAAAGGCCGCTCACAAGCTTTGACAATTCTGGGCTGTCTGATTGGCCAGATCACGCTGGCCTCACGTGATGACCCCAGGAGCCGCAGAAAATCATTCCATCCCAAACCCGCCTTTTTGCTTCGTAACTTTATCTATCTTTTCTTTTTCTTTTGTTTAGTTGAAAAGACAGGGCTCAGGATGTAGGAAAGAGCTTTAACTAAATACGACCTGCTGGAGAAGCTTTCTTCCTCTGGCAGACCAAACTGCTGACAGAAGCAGAAGTGCCAGTCTCACACAGGAAGCTGGAAGCTGGCTGGGTCTGATGCTGGAAAAACGCTGGGCCACACGGGCCGTATTTGAGGAAGACAGCTAGGTTAGCTATGTTACGCCAGCTCACCCCCAAACGCCGTTTATAGGGCTCCAGGGCTTCCAGGGTCCCCTTGTGCTGTCTGTTAAAAGTTTGCATGTGAGAAAGTAACGAATCACCTGGGGGCAAAAGAGAAGAGGAAATATGAAAGAGCTCGGTAAGGTATATACTAGGTGTCTACTTCATGTTCTCAGCCTATGTTAATAGAACAGGAGGGTAAGGATGAAATTGACACAGTATGACACAGTATGACACGAAGACCCAACACAGACACACAAGAATTATAAATAAAACTTTTATATATCTACCTGGGTATCTATATATGTATATAAGGCCGGTCTGTTCAATGACGCTCCCTGCCTCGAAGGACGAGCCCTTAAATGTTGCCGCCTCCTTTCCCGCTCTGTTTGTTGACCTCTTTTCTCATACAATCTGCCATCGCCCCGCTGGGTATAATTTTGTGGAATCCCGAGCCTTGACCGGGACCTCAGCCTGGCTGGGCTTTCTTCTGGGATGGGCCATATGGCGGCTCTTCTTCCAGCTTCGGTTGGACGTACGTCCACAGGTCTATGCTTTGGTGCCAGGTCCTCCTGTTTGTCCTGGTAGAGCCCAGCAAGACGGCGGGTGCCCAAGAGTAATTACCGCAGCGAATCCTCTTGGGCCTCTTGTTCGATTTGTGCTGGCAACCCCGTCCCCGCCTGCAGTCTTCATCGGTCCAGCACCACAGATTCTGCCTGCTATGTTTTGCTTTGCTTCTCCTGAGTGTATGGATGTATGATAGTCACCCACTTCCTTAAGCTATATGGATGATGGTGCTGCTGTTTCGAAGACAGAGACAGGGCCGGCATTTAAGAAGATCCGCTGTGGCGGCCCCTCTTCGCCCGCATTCGTTGCGCCATATAACTATCCACGAGCGAGAGCAGTGGATGGAGCAACAACAAGGCTCCGGCGGTATTGAAGAAGAAGGTTTGCACCTTTGTAAGATTCGATTGTGTTTTGTAGAAATTCGGGATGTGTGTGGGAATTTGTCTTTTGATAGGCACAGACCACGATATGATATCGGTTTGCTATTTTTGACACTGGATAACAAGCAGGACCGGGACAGTGCCCCTTATTATAGATTTTGGACACTGATCCTGACAAGGCTCAAGGGAGTATCCTCGTACACCCCTGGACAGGGATCGGGGATTTGGAATCATGCCACCTATGTTTTGGGAGCGCGACATTCTGCATCCCAAGACTCGGGATGGTGTGTGGTTTTCATGGTGTACCACATCCCAAGCTCTAGCGCTACGACCCTAAGTATCTTCTTCTAGCTCTAGTTGAGCCATATGTCTCATCTTAATTTCTGTAGCATTCGATAGAAGGGGGTGACAGCTTTGTTCTTTGAATTCAACCATAAGACAATATCCAGCAACCGCAGGAGGATTTTAATGACGATATTCAGGGTGTGGGATATCTGGTAGCTGCATTGGCAATATGCGGGGCCGTAGCTAGCTAGCTAGTTACTGCTTGCTCAACTGCGCAATGTGCAGTCCCCCCAGGGTGCACGTCCAGGAGAGATATCAGAGAAATCCTAGCAAATCCGAGCAGCCAACCTTGAAGGAAAATACTAGTGTGATAAAAAAAAAAAAAAAAAAAAAAAGCCCGCTGGTTACCATGGGAAGCGCTGCGCTCTTCCATAAAAGAATGGTTCCGATGAGCTCTGGGGACCCAATCTCAAAAGAACCAGGAAGGTGAGATTCCAAGATCTTCCCATTAGCCTGATACTCAGTGAGCCCAGGATATTGAATTTGACTCAACAGTGGAATCTTCGATCCTGATGTCGGGTAGCGGAGCTAACCCCGAGGACCCGCGGAAGGCTAGTTAGTTGCTGACCCCACACTTTTTATCTTCGGAAACCCCACAATGCTCTAAGTCTGATGTTGGGCCAGTGAAACATCGCGGAGGTGATTTGCTATTGCAACTACGGGGTTATAGTCCATGGCCATGAACCATGTATGCATGCATGCATGCATGCACAGTAGGCACAGCCACAGTGACAACATACGCTATCGTCAGATTAGGAACGGAATGAAAATTTGGGATGTTTGGAGAGAAGTGCTATGGATGCATCTTGAGACATGCTTGCGAATGTTCCGAGCTTTCCCATTCGATGTTATTCATGCAATCACAGCAAGGCGAGGCAATGGCAAGACACAGTAATTTTATTTTACATGATACGTGGCTTTGGGGTCGTGGGAGTAAAATAATATTTGGCTATCAATTCGCTTAGCCGCCTCTGCGGTTTGAAGATTGCCATTGGTATTTTGCAAAGGTCCAGCCTGCGTGTCATGTTTTGTAGGGGGGAGATTGGTAGGAAATGGTATCCAAACAAGCGCCCATAACCACGGAAAGCATCAGCGTCTACGTGTTGCTCAGGTTGGCATATACGCACGTACACATTTTCGAGCAGGCAGAAAGGTTCATTCCTTGGAAATGAGTCAACCATTCGTCAATAGTGCACTAAAGCCAGAGAGAAATCTCAGCCGGTGAATGAACCACTATCGCCTCGTTATTTTCTCCAATGACAGATAGCCCGATGCGCACAAGAAGCCAGATTAGAACCAAAATAGTATATGCCAACAAACCGACGCAAACGTTCCATGGACGGCAACGTGTAAACAAAATAATAATCAATCCTGTCAATTCGAACCCCGACGAAATCCAGCGTACGGGTTTGTCAGTCCAGTGGCGCTGCCTGCGTCCACCAACACACTAACTTTCCTTGCCGTCAACTGGGTATCAGAAGCAAACGCATCTTCACGATCATCCTGCAAAACCAATCGTACAGAACCCGTAGATAGAGCAGGAATTCCTGCTCGCGGGCCACGGAGTCCCATTTTGGCCAGCCGCATCTCCGTCGGAGAAATTGGGGATAAATGGGTTTGCTGGAAAGCCATATTGGCAGGTGATTTATTTAAATCGCTCTCTTTGACTTTCAAGGAGAGTTCCATTGTTTGTTGTTGTTGTTGTTGTTGGTGGTGGTGGTGGTGGTGGTGCTGCTGCTGCTGTAATTTGGGTGATTCCACTTTTAATCGTTCGAATTCCGAAATCAGACTACGGAAATATACCCCTGCTTGAATACTCAATGCATAGTCTGCTGGCGTACACATAAAATGGTTAAGGGCCAAAGGGGGCGAACCCGCTGACACCAGCAGCCTGAACGCCTTCAGATTGCCCCATGCACTGGCATAATGCAAGGCTGTATTGCCCGCATTATCCGTAAAAGCCACATAGGCATCCAGTCTGAGCAGTGTCGCGATCGTGTTCGTATCCTCTGAAGCATTGGAAGAGGAACGCGGTCGTTGTTTCGGGGGGATTAGGCATGTGCTCTGTGGGGTGTGGGAGGTGTTCGAGTTTTGGACTGCAAGCATAAGGGGCGTAGCGCCGTTGTTGTCGGGCTGGTTGATGGTTTGCGGGAACTGGGTACAGAGGTATTGCACGCAGGCAGGGTGAGAATGTATAGCTGCCATGTGGAGAGGGGTGGCTCCGTCAGTATTCAAGCTGATGCCTGGGGCGGTGTCCAGGCCGGTCTTCAGAAATTTAGGTGTGCATGAGTCGTGGCCGAAGGATACGAGGAGTTTCTGCAACAAATATTTAGATGCGGGTCGATATACCTGGAAAAGAAAATAGGCCCAAGGGTAAAGCTGGACGGGAGGGAAGATTCCATACAACGACCTCAAGGTGACCCAGGATGGCGGCTAGGTGCAACGATGTATTGCTCTTGTCTTCGTAGTTTGGGTTCTCCAGGAACTTGGGGTTGTTTTTGATGATGCGTTTGACCAGCAAGACATCGTTCAATAGTATGGCGCTGCGCAAGCGAACATCCACTGCTATATCCACCCTAAACGAGAAAGGGTCAATAGATAGTTCCATATGTCCAATTGGCGGAGCAACTCACATTGCAACAGCAATTCCAGGTCGATAAAGCAGTGGTCATCTAGGTTGTGGATTTTGCATGCTGAAAATTAACAGGTTCAACAACAACTTTGCGACGGAAGTTAAAGTTAGTTATTAACTAGCTAGATTGTGGGATGGTTCAACTCTCCCCGTCGGCTGAAAGGCTAAGTCAAGACATACACTAATCACGTGCGGCGGGGCGGCTGCCCGGGCAACGTGTTACGTAATTTGTCAAAACCACGTGATGCTCAACTGAGCTTCATTTCCAACATTTTTATTCGCGAAAAGCGGACCTTTACCAATGCGATATCCAGAATCAACCTCTGACGAAGAGCTTAGAAGGGAAATAATTCCGAGAAACGCTGCTGACCTAGGGAAGAATCACACATGGCCTTGGAGGGCACGGAGAGCCAGGAGGGCTCAGAGGGGATTGAGATCGTCTGGTCGAAAGAAGCATTCAAACTATCATTGATGGCGAATTCCAGTTCAGTTCCCTCCGGGTCATTTTACCCACTCCTTGTACACTGCCAAATGGGGAGGTCGCAAAAGTCGAGCTCACTGTCTGGCACAGCTTTATGATGTAGGCAACTCGTGGTTGAGGATAGAGGCCCAACGGTCAAGCCCACCTGGTTGCTGTCGCCGCCGCTTGATTGTTATGTCAAGACATCGAGTCTCTTAGCATATGCGTCCGAAGACCTTGAAAACGAAATTCTTAGTGAGGTCGAAGTGTACGAATGGCTTTGAAAAAATACCCACACCGGAATGTTGCATCCTACTATAGCTAGCAGAAGGCTCAAGGTCGAGTATCGGGGGCTCTGTTTCAAGTATACGTCATCCAACTCGGCGACCTACAATCCCAGGTCTTTGTTAGGGCAACCGTTTTGGCACCAAAGATCGGGAGCAACTATTGACGACCTCAATTGGCATTTCGCAATACATTTACAATGCATTAGCCTCTGAGAACGGCAAGATAGAGAGGTCCACACTTTGAATTATCTGATGGCAGTGAATGGGGAGTGTGACCCGTTTGTATTGTAAGACAAAGGTCCTGCCAGTGTGAGAGGGCATGACGGCCTAGAAACTAGGCCGACATCGCGTCAGAACAGACAAAACGGCTTCCAAATCCTATTCCATTTCTCTGGCTCTCTCCAGTCAATCGTTGCGAATTTGAGAGCACGTACGTCGACACCTAGGCGGACCGCCAGTTAGACCTTGAGATGATTTTGCTTCACGGCTAAGAACTCTTAGCGGACATTGTTGAGACTAGCCTATGGGATCTTCATCGATTGATGATAGCCTCATCTCTTCCTGAATTTGAAACGACCTTGTGCTGTTGCTCTTCTAGATATTCTAACGGGGTTCGCTTGGAGTGTCGTGTTCTCCAAATTTGTAAACCCTACTCCGTGCACAGTGGAATATACTGACAAATTCATACATATCGACCGTGGCCCCTATGCACGGGTTCGGAAAGAATGGTGTCTCAACCAGGTTATCCTTAAACGTACTCATGAACAGGCAATACGTATGAGTTACCCCAGAACTTATTGAGGGGCAACAAGGCGTTGCTTGAACCCGTCTCGTTGTTCAATCACCGCTCGTAGTAGTTATGGTCAACGCCTATGGTGACATCACGAAACCGGCGCCGCAGCCAAAAGTACGAGTTTTCTTAAACGAGGACCGTAGCTATACCACCGTCAGGGGCGCTCGCCCTCCGACTTCTGCCAACACGTCACCAGCGAACCAGGTGGGCATGGGCCGGAGACAATCGTTTTCCTGCTGCTATCGGTGATGTAGCTGAGGGCCAGGCAAGATATCCCACACACAAGTCTCCCCTTCAAGGCTACCACTGAGCTTTAGATCATGGGGGACATTGCTGCTGTAACTCCACCGCTGAACGTTGAAAGCGGGTACACGCTCTTGTGATATATTCATGCTTCCAACAATATACAGTGTGCCAGAACAGAATACTTCTGAGGAATCACAAGATTCCCCTATGGGCTTGCTAGCTCCAAGCTTTGAGTAAATTCAACGGATGGATGAATTCATTTAACAGCTAAAGAAACTCGGAGATGAAATCACGTGATCACTTGGTTCCTATCCAAAAAGTTGAGCTTCAAAATATCCTTTTTGGAAACATTTACGTTGCCCAGGCGTATGTCCATTGATGAAGAATGCAATTTATCTCAAAAGACAGGAGAAGAGAAGAGGCATAATCGATTCACTCATATCTCCTCTGTGGCGCCTGTTGCCCCCCTTTTATCAACATGCGCCTCGCCCACCTCCACATCCCCCACTTAACGCCCTTCACCCACACCTCCCGTCTCCAACAAACTCTCGTCTCCCGCCTCCTGACCCACAAAAAGCTCTACGACTCTCCATCCTCTCCACCTTCCACTCCCGCTCCCGCTCCTCCTGACCCCACAATCCTAACCTTCACCCCACATCCCGTCTACACTACCGGCCGCCGCGACCTCCCCCGAACCAACACAACCAATTCCAACAATCTCGATCCTAACCTCCTCCCCACGCCACTCCAACCAATCCGCCACCTCCTCACCCGCACCTCCCCCTCCCAGCTCCCTCTGGCTGAATTCCACGCAACGCTCCGCGGCGGCCAAACCACCTACCACGGCCCCGGTCAGCTGGTCGCATATACAATTCTCGACCTGCGACGACTACGACTGGGTCCACGACAGCACATCCGCTTGCTGGAGAGAAGTGTATTAGATGTCTTGAGCGATTATGGGGTTGAAGGCGGCGTATTGAGTGAACAGGATCCCGGTGTCTGGGTGGACCAACAATCACAGCTACAAGATGGCCGGAGAGGCGGCAGTGACCAATTGGCTAAGAAAATTGCGGCGGTAGGCGTGCATCTGCGTCGGTATGTGAGCAGTTACGGTGTCGGGCTGAATGTTACGGAGGAACCGATGTGGTTCTTTCGTCATATTGTTGCGTGTGGGTTGGAGGGGAGGGAGCCGACGAGCCTTGTTGGGTGCGGGGTTAGATTTGCTGATGCTAGGGATGGCGATGATATTATGAGAGAAGTGGCGGAGAGGTTTGTGGCTGCTTTTGTGAGGAGGGTAAATCAGGTTGGAACTCCGGGGGCGGTTGATGGTTGTTGTAAGACGGGCGGCGGGGTGGGGATTGACGAGGTGTATAGGATAGAGGAGGGCGATCTACTTGGGGATGGCCGGGAATGAGGAAAGATGGGAGACCCCAGCTACCTTCTGGATTTTTTACTTTTGAGTTTTGGATAGAAGGCTCCTTTTTAGCATTGCGATGGCGTTCTGGGATTGGTTTTATGATGGGATTTTTATATTGCATAGATACTTCTAGAGAGCTGGATAGAAACGTTATCTCACACAAGTACAGTAGTGACGCTGATAATATGAAGCTTCTCAAGAAATAAATAAAGAATGTCCTCCATGACAAAAGCCTAGCAACCAAACCTCTTTCGCACACGAAAGGCAAGCAAGACTATCTGGAGAATCCGAGAAGCGGAACAAAACTATTATCATTTAAAAAGGTATGCCCACTTTTCCCCAGAACTTCTTCAGGTTTATCGCTAATAAGTGTATCGCTGGATCTGACTGGGAGATGACTAAAGAACGTACCAAAAGAAAAGTTAAAAGAAGTAAACGACGCAAGGGGATAAGCACGTTGTTGACCAGACACATACAGAAGGTGTCTTGAAAACTTTTCCAAAGAGTGAAACGGGCCATTAGAGGTATTGGCGTTGTGATTCCGTAGGAAAATCTCCTAAAGTGTTCACAGAGAGACAAGAAGGGGAGAAAGATATGAATATACATTTACTAATATTAACAAGCAAACAGAAGGTTATCTTACCACATAGAAAGACAGGAGAATAGACAGAATCAAACAGAAAGTAACAAAACTAGCTTTGTACAGGATTCTGCGGCATGGGAGGGAAAGGCGGGAACGGGGCGAGAAGGAGTTGGAAAAGAAATCTGCAGTAAAAGAGAAGAGTAAAGAAAGAAAGCAACCTGGAATCAATCTAGAGATCCCGTTGCCCTGAGTTATTTTGCTCCGTTAAGATGGCACACCCACAAAAAAAACAAAGGACCACTCCAAGGTTGGCAATTGGGGTGGAGGATTGTAAAAGTGTGACATGGTAACGTGAATGAAAAGAGTTATGTGAACCAAAAAATGAGGAAAATGTCCACATACCCTGGCCATACAAACAATAATGGGTAAAAAGGCCGAAGAAGACGAGAAAAGAAAAGGCGTAACTGCCCTATGTCTACGTCATGCTTGACCATAAGAAAAATCAACGCGGAAAGGATTTCAGCCTGGGGTAGTTCGGGGTATTGCGTGATGCGTATTAACTAGAAACAAAGGAAAATAAGGACCGATATACTTGGGACCGTGGGTTAAGCAAAGGCCAATATGAATGGTCATCATCAGGGCCGAGACACAAAAAGCTAGTTCCGTAGTGCATGCATGTGTGATCCTGAGAACTTTTCCTTTCAAAGGCATATCACAGGATCACACACTTGTCAACCCTGCTGTCTGAAGATCTCGCAGGCTTTACTGTCAGTGCAACTCTAGCAGCCTCTGTGAAGGCCTCGTTGACGCCGCGATTTCGCATGGCGGAGCACTCTATTCAAAAGAAACCAAAAGGAAAAATTAGACAAAAGTGTTTTCTTCAAAAAAAAAAAAAAAAGGGGGAACCTCCATAGAAATCCAAGCGACTGGTCTTCATACCTAGATATCTCAGCGCACCAATTCTCTTAGCCACTTCGAGTCCCTGGTCGTATCTAACGATTGATTTCGCCGGAGTTTGCGATCTTCCCTCCTCTCCATCTTTCTCATCGACCTCTTCTCTCAGATCGCACTTCAAGGCGACAAGGACGATTTTAGCTCCAGCGCAGTGTTCGGCAATTTCCGCTAGCCACTTCGATTCAACGTTCTCCAGCGAGTCATTACTGTCGACCTATATTTCCCCCGTCGAAAATTTTAGCTGTTAACTTTTGTTTGTCACTTCTCTCCGCTCCAAAACTTCAACGTTGAGAAGATGAAATGCGCCCAACCAACCACGCAAAACTAAACGGGACGGTCGAAGCTTACGCTAAAGCACAACATTATGACTTGCGTGTCATCGTATGAGAGGGAACGTAGGCGATCGAATTCCTCTTGGCCAGCGGTGTCCCAAAGGGAGACCTCCATGTGGATACCATCGACATAGACATCTGGTTGCCGCAAATAATTAGCATTTGGTATTTTTGCTAACCAGTTCCATGACTAATGAGGGACGGAGCCGAACTTACCATGTACGTAATTTTCTATTTATATTTTTTATATTCAAAAGCAAATCAAGTCAGCCAAACCAATGTCATGTCGCGATATATAAGGGTAGAGGTGAACTATTATTTCATACCAAAAACAGTTGGCTCGCTGCAATCCATGCAACAACGGAAAAACGGATATATTGGCGCTTTGGTCAACACTGGCATTCTTCTCTTAGGCTATGGGGGGATCATATCTGGTTGTGGAGACAGGAAAATGTAGATGGAATCGTGTGGTGTCTTACTAGACCGTAGGGAAGAACCTGTACAACGCATTAGATGCAAGATCAGTACAGATTCCAAAACAATATTTCTGTTCATCCTCCGCTAAATTTATTTATTTTTGTTTATTTCTTTATTTTCTTTCTTTCTTTCTTTCTTATATTTATATTTATTTTTATTTTATTTTTATTTTTTACTTCCCCCTTCCGCAGTGCGTGTCAACCATGCACGGTTCGTCAAGGGTTAGACCTGTGGAAGTCTAAAGTATTGTAGGTAGAGATGCATGTATGTGCCTACCCTCTTGTGAACACATTCAACAACGACGTCTTTCCACATGCGCCGTCACCTCTGTATATCCAAGAGACCCCGTTAGTATACTGATAACATTTGATGTACATGGCGGGGCAGCGACTTGAGGCGGCGTTGGATAGGGCAAACACAGGCGCTTCCATCCGGAGGAAGGGGTTTTACTCACAGGAGCACCAGCTTACGATGGACCGTCTTTTCCCGTCGACACAAACCCATTATGACGAGAGCACGTACCGCGGCTACGTCAGGGTATAGACGATGTGAATGGATGACGGGAGAGGTAAATATGGAGGGAGTCCGGAAACCGACAGATCGTTGAATTGGGACGAGGCTAGCAGCGTTCCCGGATGGCGATCTCTTACGGGGGGGGGGGG